AATGCATTTTGCACACAAACCTTTCCTTCATATTTTAAAGTTACCAGTCTTCATATGATACACATTTATTGTACTGTATGTGATTCTATTACTTTTGTGGTTTTCTTTGTATTTGTGGCTACTAATAAAGTCTTAAGTCTGATCAAGTCTTCTTTTATGGCTTTTATTACTTTCTGGATTTGTTTTGTGAGGCAGAAATTACTGCACTTTTACATGAATACTCTCAGTTTATCTGTTTATCGCACTCATCTACATTTTAGATGAAGTTCAAATGTGGTTAACGTTAACGTTTAGTACACATGATTAGACATGAAAAGCAAATGAGGTTGTGTAGTTCTTGACTGTTCTTGACTAAAGCACAAAGGTGACCGACTGACTTTTGCCCGTGATGTTAGGCGGCGATCATACCCTCTTAGCCAATTCAGTTTTCACCCACAGCCACCAAAAATCTACAAAATAATTAAATGTGCCAGTTAAATAAGAGCACACTGTTTTGTAACCGGCTTGTTTAGGTCGGACATGGCTGCATGGAAAATGAAAGCGATGTTAAGTTTCGTTTTCCAAACGCACAGCTGCTCTCAGGATATAAACAGAGACGCTCCAGCAGCAGAGCCACATTCACCACTCGAACAACATCAGCGACTCATCGCATCAGCTGGAAGCTCTTCAGTCAACAGACAATCGATCAACATGGACACAGGTAACATGGTTTAGTTTAGAATTTGCACCTGTGCTGGTTGTTTGGATCTTGTACTGTAAAACAGACCGCTTTGCTTTGTGACAGCATCAGCTTAACTTATCGTCTTCTCTTGTCCAGAATGGACCGCTTCTTTATGGTTGGACACATTTAACGAACTGCTGAATGAGGACAATGAGCTGGACTATGGAGACCGGTGGACTCTCAACTTCAACTACAATCAGACAGACAGAGTCACCGAGGAGGAGAGGAGGAGAGGCTGGAAGGTCTCCACATATTGCGCCCGTGGAAAGTATGTGCCGCATGTCCTACATTTATAAACTTTCAAATATGCAGGTCATATGAATACATGAGTGTTTGTTCGCTTTATGTGGCGCTCACAGTATTATTTCAACCAGAGTCGTAGCTATTCAAGTGGAAAGAGCAAGATATAGATGCAAGCGCGTAAAATATATTTGGACCTAACACAGTCTAATCGTTTCTCCACAGTTTTGAGTGTGCATCCTGCACAAGAACCTGGGCTTCAGCGCGGGTAGTGTTGGTGTTCCGGTACCGGCTGCTGAGGGGCCAGGGGACAGTGATCATGCGTCCTTTTGGTCAGGCCTGTATTCGCTGCAGAGGCAACAAATTCAATCTCCCTGGTTTCGCGGAAAAAGAGGTGGAACAAGCCCTCCTCAGGCAGTTTTACAAAATTCGGAAAAACTGCTACCATGAGGAGGATGATGATGAAGATAGTGGGAGATCATCATCAGAGTCTGAAGCGAGGACCAAACCCCACGAGAAGAACCTGTGCCAGGCATGCCGCATGGGCATTTGCTGTGTGGATGATGAAGATGATGATTAATGTGTGTGTGTGTGTGTGTGTGTGTGTGTGTGTGTGTGTGTGGGTGTGTGTGGGTGGGGGGGTGTTCTTTGTTGGGATTTTTTAATGCATTTTGCACACAAACCTTTCCTTCATATTTTAAAGTTACCAGTCTTTATATGATACACATTAATTGTACTGTATGTGATTCTATTACTTTTGTGTGATTTTCATTGTATTTGTGGCTACTAATAAAGTCTTAAGTCTGATCAAGTCTTCTTTTATGGATTTTATTACTTTCTGGATTTGTTTTGTGAGGCAGAAATTACTGCACTTTTACATGACGCACTCATCTACACTGTAGATGAAGTTCAAATGTGGTTAACGTTGAAACTACACATGATTTATAAGTGATTACTAGTACAGATGATTAGACATGAAAAGCACACACCCACCAATTAATCTTTAAAATATGAAATGCGCCTTGTAGCCAGTTTACAGTTTTTGCTCGTTGCTTGAACACTATAAACCCATGCTTAGACTAAAGTAACACAACTTGAAGCTTTTGTTACCATACCTCAAACACATGTACCCATACCTTAAACAAAAGTGCTGCTTTGCACTCTGGTTGCAATTATGCAACACACTTACTCCTTTATGCAACACACATGGTCCTGCATACTACACTCTATTTCATACATAAGACACTTCGTTCAAAAATGAAATTTCAGGGTGCCATTTGGAAAACACATGTATCCAAAATACAAAACACATCGGGTAATTGCAACCACTCAAATATACACCTGAAGGCACTTACTTGCAAAACTGAACACCAATTAGCCAACCACAAAAAGCCCTCAGTTTAGCCATTTCAAGAACTTTGCAAGCATGGATGGAGGGAGAGCAAGAGGAAGAGGAGGAGGAGGTCAAAGAGGCCATGCACGGACCCATATTTCTGATGATATAAGAGCAACTTTGGTGGACCATGTCATCAACCACGGCCTGACTATGAGGGAAGCTGGGCAGAGAGTCCACCCACATCTAAGCCGCTTCACAGTGGCATCTGTAATAAGAAATTCCGACTAGAAAACAGGTCTGTCTTCATCTCACTGCCTTCTACTCTACTCAGATGGTTTTTATAGTACTGTTCTACAGTTACCATATCAAGTGTACAGGGTATTGCAGGGTGCTAATGCTCCTTTTGCAGCCAAAGTGGTAGTTTCTGTGAAACATACCATGATTACTTATATTGAAGTACAGTGTTGTACAGTGGATGATACAGTATCATACAGTAAAGTACTGTAAGAAAAATAAGCAAACCGATGACAATATGTGGTTGTATTTCTCTAGAATGACTCGAAGACCTTCTGGGGGAGGACGCCAACGCCTGTTCACACAACGAGCAGGAACTTGCCGTTGTGGACCTAGTGAGGGCAGACAATGCCATCCGTCTCCACCAGCTACGAAAGCAAATACTTGCAGACAGGCAAGTGTTCAACAACATAAACCATGTGAGCATCACCACCATCAGACGCATCTTGGGAAAACACAGCATCACCATGAAGCAGCTCTACAGAGTCCCATTTGAGAGGAACAGTGACAGGGTCAAAGGACTTTGAGCTGAATATGTACCATATCAGTACCACATGAATACATTCTGAGAGCTACACAGGTACCCGTGTGATGGGGTGAGGGTTCTGTATGTGTAGCACTGTAGTACAGTAATATGTTCTCTTTTTTTACAGAGAATCTTGGCCATGGATGGAGCTGCACAGCCTCATGAATTCATTTTCATTGATGAAGCTGGATTCGACCTGTGCAAAACAAGACGACGGGGTCGTAATGTAATTGGCCAAAGGGCAATTGTGCACGTCCCAGGGCAGCGCGGGGGAAATATCACATTGTGTGCCGCCATAAGCCTTCGAGGGCTTCTGCACATCATGCAAAACTAGGTCCATACAATAGCCAACATATACTCACATTTCTAGATGCTCTCCATGATATAGTTGTACAGAACAGACCAGATCAGCCCAGGTTTGTGGTGATATGGGATAATGTCAGTTTCCATCGGGCTGCTCTGGTCCAGGCCTGGTTCTCCAACCACAGTCAACTTGAAGTGGTATACTTGCCCCCTTACTCACCATTTTTAAACCCTATAGAGGAATTTTTTTCGGCTTGGAGATGGCGTGTATATGACCGCCAACTACATGCCTGCATGCCTCTTCTGCAGGCAATGGAACAGGCCTGCGGCGACATTCAGGTGACAGCAATCCATGGATGGTTTTGACATGGAAGAGGATATTTTCCCCGGTGCCTAGCGGGAGAGACATTGCTTGCGATGTTGATGAGGTCCTGTGGCCAGACCCCAACAGACGGCGGGATCCATGAGCCCACGTATGCACAATTGTCATGATTTTTTGTTTACAGTATAGTGTTTTTTCTATTACTGTATTATGGGTTTTTTGTTGTTTTTTTTATTTTTTTTGCTTTATCTGAATTCATGGTACTGCAATGTACAATATTGAGTAGGCCTATTTGCTTTTTTGGTTGTTTGCAAATGTGTCTCCTGAAAATGTGCCTTCTGAATGAACAATGGAAATCAAAGACTGCAGTGCTTTATATAAAGAAGACTAGTGTGTTCCCCCTGATCTGTCAGTGTTTGCATATGATGCAAGTATGTGTCATTTTGTCAACAGAGTTACATTTTGACAAAGGAATTTTAGGTTTTGACAGCAGAGTTTAGGTTTTGATAGAGTTTCAATTTGGTGCAGATGTGAATGGTATATTTCCCAGTGTTGTGTCATGTTTACTTGTGTTTAGGGTTTTGGCACAATGAGCAAAGTTTTGCAAAATGTGTTCAGGCAACGGGCAAAAACTGTAATAACAGCATGCTCTGTTGTAACCGGCTTGTTTAGGTCGGACATGGCTGCATGGAAAATGAAAGCGATGTTAAGTTTCGTTTTCCAAACGCACAGCTGCTCTCAGGATGTAAATAGAGACGCTTCGTGCAGCAGAGCAACATTCGCGACTTGATAAGCATCGGTGACTTATCGCATCAGCCAGAAGTTCTTCGGTTTACAGAACAAAACATCGAGAAACATGGCCACATCGACAGGTAACTTTTTTAATGTATTTTTTTTAATTTTGCGGCAGTGAAACATTTCTTTTGATTAGGTGTGCATCACTTGCACATCACAGCACACCATTTCTTCTGCTTTTACACAACATTAAATAACACTGATCTCTGTAAAAGTGTATGATTCACTGAGATCATCAGCCTAACTTATTTCCCTCTCCTGTCCAGAATGGACTCCTTCTTTGTGGTATGACACCTTCAATGAACTGCTGGATGATGACAGTGAGCTGGACTATGGAGACCGGTGGACTCTTAAGGTTAACTACAACAAGACAGATGAAATCACTTATGAGGAGAGGAAGAAAGGCTGGAAGGTCTCCACTCACCAAGCAAACGGAAAGTATGTTAACTTATAAACAATAAAAACGTAAACATATGTAAAGTAATAGTTACTGAAAATGTGAAACAATAGCAAGACAACATAAAAATATTAAAAATATATAAATCCATAGCAACAGCATAGCAAAACCAGAAGAAAAAAAGGAGGCAACATGTTTCAGACTGTGGGTGTAGTTGTAGTTTTCCATCTCCACCTTCTCTCTGATCACATGAGTGTGCAGGTTCTCTGACAAATGATCGTGTGAATGGGAGGAGGTTGCACACAGAATCAAAACAATGTCATTCTGTGATTAAAAAACTGGTTCTGCTGCTAAATGTAATTTCTTTATGGTGACTCAGAGAACCACACAATACTGTTTGATCCACAGACTCATAGGGAGGCTCAGTTACTACATGTGGAAAAAGCAAGCTATAAATGTAAGTACATAAAAATAAATGTGTACCTCACAGCATGTAATCATTTCTCCACAGATTTCAGTGTGTATCCTGCAAAAAGACCTGGGATTCAGCGCAGGTGAGGTTGGTGTTCCGGTACCGGCTGCTGGGGGGCCAAGGGACAGTGATTATGCGTCCTTTTGGTCAGGCCTGTCTTCGCTGTAGAGGTGACAAGTTCAATCTCCCTGGTTTTGACAAGAAAGAGGTGGAACAAGCCCTCCTCAGGCAGTTTTACAAAATTCGGAAAAACTGCTACCATGAGGAGGATGAGGAGAAGGCTGAAGACAATGGAAGACCATCATCAGAGTCTGAAGCGAAGACCAAACCCCACAAGAACCACCTGTGCCAGGCATGCCGTGTGGGCCATTGCTGTGTGGATGACAAGGATGATAACTAGAGTGTGTGTGTGTGTGTGTGTGTGTGTGTGTGTGTGTGTGTGTGTGTGTCTCTTATAAAATAGTGTGTGTGTATAATAAAAACAAATCACAAAACACCAAAACATAAACCAACAGAACAAAAAAAAATAACTAGAGTGTGTGTGTGTGTGCTTAAAAGTGCTCAGAGAAACTCTTTTCTTGTTTACTGGTTCCTGGGATACTCTATCTGTTTTGCACTTGAAGTTAACAGTTTTAAGAGTACGATCCACATTCATGGTGCAGTATATGATCATATCACTTTTGTGTGCGTTCATTGTATTTTGTGGCTATTAATAAAATCTGATCAAGTCTTGTTTATGGTGTTTGGTTTGTTATGGATTTGTTTTGTGTGGCAGACGTGCTAGAAATTGCTGTACTTCACATTCATCTATAGATTAGATCTTTTTTCCACCCCATTTATTTGATAGTCATACCAGATACAAGTAAAAACATGAAACCAGAAATGCTGGTATTATACTAAAACGTACATGCCATAGAAGTAACAATGGTCAGTTTTAGCTGTCAGGGAAGCTTATGAATGCTCCCAAATTCTAACAGCATGGCAAACCAAGGTACAGCCGGAGTCATACTAAACTGCAGGCTATAGAGTCAGTCTTGCAAATTCTCCCAGATAAAGTAACTGCATGCAAAGTACCTCAAAAACGTGTGCAACAGTGTACCTACATGTTTAAACAAGGAGTGACTGCATCAGACAGTATTTGATCTAGTTTTTTTCCTGCTTTACATGAATGTAACATGGTGTTGGTTTGAGGCCTGTCACATCTGAATGCCTTATAAGAATAAAGGGAAGCTACAGTTTATCTTGATCATCTTGTGTGACACTTGTTTATTTCCTGTTGCTTTTAAAAAGACTGTTAAAACTTTTATTTCTCGCTACTAAACATCTTTGGGTTTCAGCAGGGACGCATGCAGTTCAGCGCATAATCGGGTTCTTTTACGACTCATAGGTGTTGACTATTGTAAAGAAAAAAAATTAAATTAAAAATTAAATAAAACAAAAAACACAAGCTGTTCCTTATCATCGCTGGTGGCTGTGGGTAAATATATCCTGATATAATATCGATACAACACTGATATCGAATCGATACTAAGGTGATAGGAGTGATACTTTAGTTTGTTTCCCTTCTTTAATTTCAGTACATTGCTCCCATTCATCGGAGGAGACCCCTCTCCTCTCATGCAGGCGCACTCTCACACTCCCTACTGTTGTTGTTGCCCTGCGGTCACTCAGTGGCACTGAGCAGAGCCATAGTGATGCGTTGAGCTGGTTTATAGCTGTAGATTAAAACACTGCAAACAATAATGGGTGTTGGAAGGAAATTCTCTACCGTGGCAAAAACACCAACTTATATAAAGATATGAAAGAGCACGAAAAAGAGACTTTTCACCCGGAACAAGCAGCAAAAATAAATGCAGACAGGAGGAAGGAAATCCCCCAGACATGGCCCAGACTCTCGGCACAGAGACAGAGCCCACTGTCACAGCCCTTTCATAGACTCAAGAAATAATCTCATATAGTATGAAGGTAAAAGTTACGGTGATTTAGAGATCATTAAAATGTGTTCAGAATTTGGAAAACCGCTGATGATTCATCTCATAGATCACGATCACACTGCTCTCCCTAACATAAACCTTTATAAGTTTGGTATCTGCAATACTGGCCGTGTATTTAGTTGGTATGAGTTCAAGATGTGCACTATCTCACACTAGCAGCACAAGTCGCTAGACGGAACGTGAATTCTAAGTTTCGTTTTCCACACATCACGCATAAATAAACAGAGGCTGCCTGCAGAGCAGCATTCACAAGTCAAACTCTGTCTCATGTCAACGTTTCATTTCGTCTCCCAGAAGGTCTCCAAATATCAGACTTTATGTATCAGACCATCGAGATATACAGGTAACACACCAGCCTACTATTTGTTTCTTTAAACGCGTATATGGGTGATTGATTTGTAATTAATGCATTGCATATTTGTTTTGATCAAGGCGTTTAAAGCGTTTCCTGTGTTCTTGTAATGACAAATATAAGAGTGATTTGCCTGCATAGCATAAGCCTAACGTCCTTCCCTCTCCTCTTTGTCCAGCTTGGGCTCCTTCCTTGTGGACACACACCTTTGAGGAGCTCTTCTGTGGGGATAATGCGCTGGACTATGGAGAGCCATGGTCGCTCACCTTCAGCTACAAACAGACAGACAAATTATCCAAGAAGGAAAATAGGAGAGGCTGGAAGGTCTTCTCCCACTGCGCTTATGGAAAGTATGTTTAATTTAATGAAATCATATTTACCTTACACTGTATGTAATAATAATAGTAGAAACTATGCTGGAAAGAAAAAGGCATCAATTATTTTTCAGGTAGTGGGTATAAATTGAAAGATTGTCTTGTGCTTTTTCCGTCTCCACCTTATTCATGTTCACGGGAGCAGGTGGGTCACCTGTCGAGGTTGTTGTGTGACAGGGAGCAGCAGTGGACGGTATTAAAACAATGCTATTCTGTGTGGAAAACAGGTTCTGCAGTTTAGTTACAGCGATAATTGAACAGTTATCTTGCTTTATTAAAACTCTGACGATTCGCATGGTATGTTTGACCCAGCGAATCATTACTAAAGCTTTCCGCTGACGTGGCAATCTGAAACTGAAAAACATCAGTTCAAAGCATTGATGGGACACAGACAGAGTTACTAACCTGAAAATCATCATTGACCAGAGTCTATAGTCATAATTTCTCCCACAGTTTTCAGTGTGCATCCTGCAGGAGGATCTGGCCTTCGGTGCGTGTGGTGCTTTTGTTCCGTTATCGGCTGAGAGGCGGTAAGGGGGCGGTGACCATGCGGCCTTTTGGACAAGCCTGCCGGCGATGCCAAGACGATAATTTTCATCTCCCTGGTTTTTACAAGGAAGAGGCGAAAGAGGCTCTGCTCAGATTGTTTTCTGAAATCCGGAAGAACTGCTATGGAGAGGAGGATGAGAATAAAGAAGGTGACTCAGGCGCTACAAGACGGAGGTCCAAACCCCACGAAAAAACCCTGTGTGAGGCCTGTTGTTTTGGCTTGTGCTGTCAGGATGATCAAAATGATAAGTTGTGTGTGTGTGTGTGTGTGTGTGTGTGTGTGTGTGTGTGTGTGTGTGTGTGTGTGTGTGTGCGCGCGCGCGCAACAGCGAGGTGTAAAGAGAGTGGCAGTCTGGTTGTTTGCTGTTTTCTTGAGATCTTTCTTTTCTAGTTTACACACAAAAGTTTCCTTAATGAGCTGGTTTATTCATAATTATCTAAGTTATTGATAATAATAAAGAATATGAAAACCTTCATTAGCAATAATAAGATTTCATCACTGTTGTGTGTTTATTTTGGACTTTGTGCAACCTGAAGGTGTGTCCTGATTATTTTCTTGGTTTGTTTGGTGTGATGTCTTGAGGTATAATCCAAAAATTGTAGTTACTGTACTTTTACTTGAATTGGTTTATCAGGAGGGAGGAGGCTGGGGGCAAACCCAGGACACGCTGGAGAGATTATATCTCTCGGCTGGCCTGGGAACGCCTTGGTGTTCCCCCGGATAAGCTGGAGGAGGTGGGTTTCTTGCTTTGGCTGCTGCTGCCACCCAGCCCCGGATAAGCGAAAGAAGTATGGATGTATGGATGGGTGGTTTATCGGTATTGCGTCATCATTCCACTCATCTGATGCTTTTTTTCTCACCACATGTATTTGTTATGTTTAGCAGACAAAGGTTTCACATGAAAAACGTGAAACATGTGATGCTGATATATTAAAACAGGAGTTTTAACGATGCCGTGATACCGTTTCACTGCTCATGGGTCAGAATGACTCAGACACTTACAAGCAGATTTCTGATTGGCCCCAAATTCTCACAACATAACAAACTAATTACAGAGGTGTGCAAACTATATGTCTGCATTGTATACTCAAAAACACAGAGTGGGTACATCAAACAGTACTTTGATCTAGCTTTTTTTTTTGTTAGTTGCACTTTGTGTTACAATCTATGCATATAATTCTATATTGTATCACACTGAAGTTATGATGTTTATGGAGAGGTTTTATTAAACAAGCAAATAAATAAGTTTCGCCTTGTTCATTTCCCAAATTGCAACTGTGGTTATCACATCCCACCAAAATCTTTGGGGGAATCTTTGATATTCATTTTGTAACTAAATAGATAAATGTGCACAAGCTGTAAAGGCTGAAGGTTTGACTGTGTGATCATGTATCTCAATATCAAAACTGAAGTTGAGATTTCATTTTATGCTCTTATATTAAACTCTTTATACACTTGTGCATTTCCTGTTCCTTTTTGAGGTGTTAGATGCACTTCTCACATGTGATGACTTGTAAAGTTGAGCCAATCAAAATGTGGTGCATTGTCTCAGGTTGCAGGGTAAGGGGACAAAGATATACAAATGCTTTCCTGGCCTATGATCATTTATGTTCATATATATATCACACTGGTAATTTGTCAAACTCACACAAGGAATTAACCCCAAAGTGTTTGTGGCAAATAACATAACAGTTCAGTTGTTTTTACTAGTACAGCGCACTGGTGGGTGATTTTGTGGGGTGGTCTGGAAGTAATCATCTGCTTCTGAAAGAGGATGGCTATATTCCCCGTTTCTGTCCTGGACTTGATGGAGCAGTCCAATACCTAGGCATTCACATCTACAGGTTGTACTGGAAGGCCAAATGCAGAGGCTGTATCCAAAACTCACGTGCAGCAAAATGATGGTGCTTGGCTTTCACTCAGTTGCTGAGAATGCAGTGTAGTTTGTTGGTCTGCTGGTAGAGCACTGTTGGAGCTGGTGACACCAAAAGACTGAGTGACTAAAAGACATTTGGAGTTGTGGTGTAGGTCAATAAACAAAATCAGAGAGATAAAAGGCATTTACATGCAACCAATAACATACACAAATGATGACGATGATGATGATCATCATCATCATTTCAGCTGCTTCCTGTAGGGGTCACTGTAGCATCATCTGCCTTCATACCACTCCTTCGCACGTCCTCTTTCACTACACCCATGAATGTTCTTTTGGGCTTAGGATTTCCAGCTCTGGCACCTCCAGCTAGGTCTCCTGTTTTCGTTACTGCTAAAACAAAAAGAATTTCCCAAATATGGGACAAATAAAGTATTTCTCATGCCTTCATGTACGTCATCATAAATGTTGTTATTGTTTCTCTTTTTTCTTTTTCAATTTTCTTCTCGGATTTTTAAAGTTTAATTACATTTTAAAATTATTATTATTATTATTATTATTATTATTATTATTATTATTATTATTATTATTATTATTATTATTATTATTATTATCTTAACTGATATTGACCTTAACCAACCAACCAGCGAGCGCAGATAGCCGACCAATCCGGTGAAAGCTCTCTGCGTGACAGGTAGTGCTGCGCATGCGCAACACGCTTTTCCCTTTGGCAGCAACAACAACACAGAGAACGAAGTCAGTCTCGCCCCTCCGCTGTCGGCAACAGCATCATTGTCCCCACCGGGTCCGGTGGCAGAGAGGATGGTCCAGCGGAACCGCAGCCGGGGATGCGAATGACAGCCACAGGATAATGTCCCTGGATGTATGCAAGTTTCCGAATGAAGTAGTGACCAAGTGAGACGACCGTGTAAGTAGAGCGACGGAGATGCTGCCCGGCTGTAGGTAGTTGAGGCTAACATATCTCGCTAACGTTAACCTGAGACAGGAAAATAGACGCTTTGCTAGCGTCGGTAACGGCAGAAAGGTAAGCTGCACTGGGTGTTAACGCTTCCCAGCGGCGCCGCCACAGCCTGCGAAAACGTTAAAACTACCGGCAAAGGGTTTTGTTCGGCAGCATTACAGAAACTACACACCTACTACTCGCTTCCCAGTTGGGGTAGTAATTCAAGCAGACTGTACGGTTGCTGAACAAAGGAGCTTTAACCAAGGGGCCGCATGGACACAAACATGAAGAGAGAAGTCGGCCACTGTTTGTTTTGTGCTCCATTTCATGCTGACACACTTCGGAGACACCCACACGAGGTCTGACCTGAATATTTAGCCGATATACGGCGACCCAGCTAATTTTGGTAAAATGCCCAGCTGCTAGTGAAGTCAGTCGCGCTGTATTATCGTATTATTTTTATTATTATTAATGTTGTAACGCAGCTTCTGCCTTTGACTCACAAGTTTTATGCCCCTTTTAACGACCATACATTGTCCCGCAGCAGTTATAGAGTGGCTTGATTGCCCAGAGTTTGGGTAGGTTTTACCACTGACGTGTTACAGTTGACAGCAACTTTTGATAACAGCAGCAACACTCCAGTGGCTGTCATGTTTTATGTGTGTTTGATTGTTTTTTGTTTTTCATTTAAAGCGATCGCTTTAAATTAGGCTTGTGACAGGTTGAACGTAAATGCTTTGATCCTCTTTGAATTTACTTTCACAATAGTTTGCAGCACATCATAACTGGTAAAACCTAAAAATCAGAGGAACGTAAGATTGGCAAATTCAAGGAAACCCTCAAACAAAGTGTGTGTGTTTTCAGAACAGCTTCGGGACTCTTTGGGGTTGGCTGTAAAATGCTCGGGAAGGCCCTCCATCCCTCCAGCTTTGATAAACATGATAATGCTAAATTTGTTGCATCAGTCCAAAATTTCTCCTAATAGCTGTTTCAGTTGGACTTAAATAATATTATTATCATTTTCATGCGTATTAAACTATTCAGTGACCCCAGTGTGCCCTACAAATGGTTGCATTGTCATCCAACCCACCACCAACATAACCGAGCAACTTGATCCCCACACTATAGGGGAAAGAGGGTATGGTTTTTCCTTTTAAGCTGTTGCCTAACAGGACTGACTGAAACCCAGCATTGAATGCCTGTTTTGTAATTAGATCTCAAATCATTAGTCAGTTATTGGATCAGCAGAAAAATAATCCACAACCCGGTCCCTCAGCCACACACTGCCATATTCTGTCTTCTCTAAAATTCAGATTTGCTGGTATGAATGCTATTATAAATCACTGGTCAGTAAGGACAGTCTTTTTTGTGTCATCTTACAATTTATGACACTGAAACAACTGTTTTCTGTCATTTTATTGACTAAGGATGAGACTAGACTGCTAATAAATAAGTAAAGAATAACTGCTAGTCAAAATCCTAATGACATTAAATCTTGTTTGATATTAAGTGATTCATTTGTCTATAAAAAAAAAAGAAAGCAAAGAGCAATCCATTACTTGTTTTGTTGCAATAGTTGCAGACTCTTTCCAAACTATCACCATAAATTGCTTTTTTTGCATGATTTGGTCTAAATGGGGGTGTGTTGCTGACTGGGTTTCCGAGAAGCTCGAGCACCATGACTGAGTCCTTGTTAGTGGGAGTCATCTGACGGGATTCATGTGTTTAGGATTCTTGAGCTCATGAGTCATTACGTCACAACTATTGCATTGCTTAAAATGGGGAAGACCATATGTATCAGAGGCCTGTTCTGAGTAGCTCTGTGTTATGAGGCTAACTAAATATTGTTGACTTTCAAGCGTGATTCATAAAACATGCCTCTGAAATTCAGCCTAGCAGATGAGTGCCAAGTTAACTAGCAGTGGAACACTTACTGTGCCTCAGTTCCACCCCACCATCGAATGATGTGTAATAAAGTCAATAGCTGCACTCCCACTGTGAACAGCGGCACTTGTGATCGCTGGAATTCCAAAATTCCTTCATGTCCAAACTTCCTGTCCTTATTTAGTATGAGAGACAGAGAGGGAGGTACGTGGAGATGTGAAGTGAACTGGAAGTAAACCAGCATGCACAAAACAGAGCCAAACAGACAGACTGACCTATTAACTACAGTCCCCACCACCACCACCCCCCCCCCCACGACCCCCTCCACGACCTCCCTCCAGATATACACAAACACACACAAGATCCGGTCTGCTGTGTGCATCACGAGAGAACTTGCAGTGGCTATTATTCACCGGTCTGTCAGTGTGTATTTTTCCTGTCTGTGTCCCTTTCTGTCACAGCAAAGAAAAGGGAGGCAGTCAGCCATGTTATTCAAATGTTCCAGAGCCCGGCCAGCCAGCGGCCAACTGTAGCCGGGCTAAAAAGAGGCTCTTTGTGAAGGCCAGACAGATGGCTATAGAATGAAGACTGTAATGATACCCTCAACAGCGCAATACACACAGAGGCCCATGCACTCATTACACAGTCCACTCATTACAGCATGTAATACCGTGTGTTAAAGGCACACCAAACTGTGTAAGTGTTTGTGAGTAAGAGAGAGAAAGGAGAGGTGGAGAAGACGAGTACATCAAGCAGAGATAATGTACAATATGTGAAAGGACAGAGAGTGTTTGTTTGTGTCCCATATCTCTCATCTCTTATATTGCTTGAGATATAGATAGATGGATAGATGGATGGATGGATGGATCGATCGATCGATAGATATAGATATGGGGGGGAAAAAGCTTTCCAGGCCAGTTTTTCTTTTTAAGGGAATGGTGGGAATCCAACGGTTATATTTTGATAACCTGTGAATCTGCAGTAGGTTTATAAGCTGTTGCTGGGAGAGTAAGCTCTGCTGGGGCAGCCATAGCTATGACGCTTGTGATTCTTTCGTTTAGCGGCTGAGGGGCAAAGTAAAACTGGTTTGGGTCCAGCATGTTAGTGCTGCATGGTTTAACACACTCTCACAGTCTCAGTAGCAGAAGAGCATGTAAACAGTCGAAGACATGCAGATCTTTTTTTTTTATCTTACAACAGTGACCTAACTGGACACAATGGTCCAGAATGGTCAGTTGTGGTAATATCGACTGTGTCTTTCATCAACCAACTAACAAATCAATGGCTTGGATATCATCAACCTTCCCCTCTGGCCTGGCTTCTTTACAACTGTCTTTTTTTTCTGTCTCTCTGTTTTCTTTTCTATTTTCTATAAAATGGCATCTGTCCATCTAACACACAGCTAATCAATGAATGGACTCAATCGATTGTTTGCCTTTTTTTTCATCTGCTCTTATTCCTTCTTTCCAACTTCATTTTCTCTCTAATCAATTCCCACCTTTCTCTTCTTTGCAGGGAAGGAAACGCTGAACCATGTTGCTCTAAGTCGTGACCTGTGGAGTACGGGGGGGTGGAGAAAGAGGAGGAGGAGGAAGAGAGGAGTAGTGAGGCATTGGCCACAGCTTCGTTTTAGGTGGCCGTTTGCGAGCCCGAAGCGATGGGAAACACAGCCACCAAGTTCCGCAAGTCCCTTGTGAACGGTGACGAGGCCCTGGCCTGGCAGCTGTACGAGGGCAACCCTCAGTTCAGGGACGGTCTGGACCCAAACGCATCGTATGGAGAGCAGTACCAGCACAACACACCCATGCACTATGTGTGCCGCCACGCCATGACACGTCTGCTCAGGTAAAAGTCAGTCTCATGCAATGCAGCAGTTATCCAGTGCAGTTAGGAGGGCAGTGAGTCATGTTAAATTGAATAACAATTAGCAGCATGTCAGATTTAAGACATTTCTGAGAATCACCATATCTGTAATTGCCTTTGATGGCAAGAAAGGCCACTTAATGTGCGGAGGCCCAAAGACGCCAGTCGCATATATACTGTAAGATTATGTAAATGATGTTACAGGGAGCGGGGAAAGTGCATTAGCCATGAGGAGCTGTGGAAATAAAATGTAGTTAGACCCTTAAAGGCACTTACTTTGTAAGATATAAAACTGCAAGCCACCATCTCAAAAATGACCAATGGCTTGAATGAGCACTTCTGAGAGTCTCGTTAAAGGTTCTGATTTTTATTTTTTTTGTTGTTGTTTTAATACACGATGAGTTCACGGGATCTGTTATCAGAACTGCTATTTCTAGGCTGACCGTGCACACAACAGCTGTTTTCTCTGTCATTCTGTTTTGTTTTATGTTATTCAGCACAGAAGAAAACTTGGCTTAAGTATTGCTCCCCTGCTGTCTTTGAAACGAGCTGGTCCTGCTGGATTTGTTAGGCCTCAGTCACGCAGACCTCGAGACTGATTGCTGCTCCCTGCTGGTCGCTAGGGAAAAATGTTATTCCCTGACTGGTTGGCGAATGGTTGCTGGAAATTGATCGCAAAGAGAGTGCTGCATTGAAAACTTCTTTGTGATTACTCTGGTTGATAGCAGATTGCCTGTAGTTTGCGTGGAAGATGCCGACTTGTCTGTAAACACTTGGTATTTACTCTTAAGAGCTGTAGTGACACTTGAGAATGCTTCACAAACCAGAAGTGGAGAATGTAGCCTTCTGTGTAAAAGTTGTACAATCACCATTCCAGACATAGAAACTGCACAGCCCTAAATATACAGAAAGAACAGTGGATGGCGGGGATGGGAGAGTCTCTGGTCTCCATCTGTCAGTCTCACATCTCACAGTTTCACTGTCACTTTGCAAGCATTTGCAGACAAGTCGGCATCTTTCATACAAACTACAAGCAATCGCACGAACCTGCTAGCAACCAAAGCAGTTGAAAAGTGGCTGTCAGTGCAGTATCCTCTTTGCGACAAATTTCACCTATCAAAAAGCAGCAGCTTCAAACTACCTCTTGCCAACAAATTTTTCCTTTGTGAACGGTGGTTGACTGGATGGTCACTGACCAATCTCTAGGCCTGTGTGATTGAGGCCTTAGGTGGTTCCTCTATAAATCAGACACTGAACTACTTGTGGTCTAAGTAGCTTCCAGCATCTGTCCGCCTTTGGTTGTTCGACAAATTAACACCTCTTGGATGTTTGCTGCAGGCTAACGAGTTGTCATAAACTCAAGTAGCACTCCTGCTCTGCTACCATGGTGCTTGCTCTACTGTGCCCCGCCTGCTTGCTCTCTCGCACACACGCAGTAATAGCCGCAAACTGAAATCTGGTGAGCGAAATTACTGAGAAACTAGCGAGACATTCACACTGTAGTGAAGTCAGAGACAAACACAACATCCTGGTAAATAAAGTAACTAAAACATTTCAGTTTTTTTTAGCTTCACTGGCACATTTCTTGCTTCTTGTTAGAATATTTTTGCATCAGCACGAAGCTTCCTAATGTCTGAAAATACAGCTGTTCAGGTCATCTCATGTAAAGCTTCATAGACTTCACAGAGTATGTGGACTAAGCTTGTATTACAATTTTGAGAAGTTGATAAGGATGCTGGAGAGGCAGATCTGATCTAAGGCTTGTGTGTTTCCAGTACTATGCAAGTCTTACTGGGAAATTCCATCCGCTTTTGTGTACATTCCTTTAAAGCTCTTTCTTGTGAGTCTCTGCTTAATGAAGTGCGGTGCTAAATCACTACAGTTCCTCTTTAAGAGTATTAAAAGATTTGAATTCATTGCATGGCTATTGTGCTGTGAGGAGTTTCACCGCCTGCACACTTTCTCAAAACAAGAGTTCGCAGAAATAGACAGACAGCACCATCAACAGCAATCAAGTCAACAGACTGACAAAAACCACAGAGTCACTAAGTCAAACACAGCCTTAAGAAAAGGGGTCAAACTATAGAAAAATATAGCAAGCAGCACACCAGTGGGCCTTTGTTACCTCCTGCAGAGATAATCAAGCTGCTGGCCTTGACCATGACAGCTGATTCAGTGACTCAGTAGTCTTCCTCCTCTCCTCCTCCTCCCATTTGTCCTCTCTCTTAGCCTTTCTTACCATGATTACGGGGGGTCGGGGGGCGGGGGGTTCATTATCTGTCTATCTGCATGTGTGCACACGGCCGTGTGTGTTTAAAGGAGGTGGAAAAAAACTGAGACTCTGCAACTGCTTAATGCGTCTGAGAATATAACACAGTGAATCAATCCATGTGCTATTTGTGTTCCTTCCTACTAACCTATAATGGGCCAGAGAGGCGTGCTGAACGCAGCGCTCTGCTCCTGATAAGCATCAGAGGAAAGGCTTCTTTGTTCCAGCAGTTCAGTTGGACAGTGGCAATAGAGAGACGACCGAGAAATCTCAGACAAAATAAAGACTCACAGAGGACGAGCGTGGGCTGGTGGATGGAGAGTCTGTTTCAGATTATTTTTAACACGTATCTGCTTCGTGTTTATTCGCTCTCTGCTAGTCGTCTCTGTGGGTCGAATTGGCAAGTAATCCCGTGAGAAGTGCAAACTGGAAAATCTCAAGTAGACCTATTACTGGAAAACTGGGTGTAGTTCAGGAAGTGTAACCCTTCCTCCACGACAAGTCACAGGAAAAAATATGTAAATAACAACTCGGACATCATTGTGAACAGTTTGTTTTTCTTTTGTTGAAAGAATCAAAAGAGTACATTTCAACTGCTGACTTCATTTATTTATTTTTTTATTTATATCTTGGACGCATTGAGTCTCCTCAAGCTGATTTGCTTTTCAGCCATGTGTACGACAAAGTAGTTAGTTTTAACGCTCCGCTGAGGTTTCCTGCCCTCCACTAATAACTTCACAGCAACAACACAAAACATGTGACCTCCCCACAGCCTGCTTATATTAGGGCCATCCATCCTGAACATCGGGATTTGTGCATGCATATGTGTGTCGAGGTGGTGGTGGAGGGGGTGTTGGGGTTGGGAGGGAATAATTAGTGATTATTGCTGTGCGGATGAATTGGCAGTGCACTGTCATTAGAGAGAAGCTGCAGGGGCTTGTGGCTGACAGGATAAGAGGGTCAAAAGTGGAAAAGCAGGGCAGCAGTGGAGGAATAGACTGAAGGACTACACACTGAGAAACTTCAAATTCAGAAGCATCGACTGCCGTGTCCAAATTGTGCAAGAGAGGGCGAGGCTTTACAAAATCTTTTCAGCTGGTGTCCTTACAATTGTCAATCCTGTGACATCCTATTTTTTTCTTCTCCTTTTTTTGGATTTGCATTAGAGAGAATCATTTCATGTGCAACACTATTTGTGCTGTGCCGCTGATGAAAAAGAATCTGTTTTTCCTCGCTGGCTTTATCGTAAATAGGAAGGTGTGGGGGGGAAAAACAAAAAGAGACTTTGGTTTTTAAAATGTAAAAAGAAACTTGAAAAGGGAAAGGTGCTGAGGCATATAAAAGAGTGGAGAGGTAATCAGTAAATGGAGGTTTCCACAGACATAAAGCAGGGGAAACTATTTTACTAAACAGAACTGCAGCTACAGTCTTACTCCCAGAGCAACTGGCACATCCATCACCCGCTAAGTGTGTGTGTTTGTGTGCATGTGTTTGCGCTCACACCCGTCAGCCAGCATGTCCATTATCTCAAAGATGTTAAACAGAAATGGTCGATATTATGCCATCTTTACCTTGCCTCTTCATTTCACTGTCCATTTTACTTCCATAATTCATCTTCCTCTTCTCTTTGACTCGGTTTCAAGCCTTCCTCCTGTTACTGTCAGGCCTTTCCTCTCTTTCCACCTCACATGTGAATACCTCTGAACCGGTTTTACCCTCTTTTATCTAATCTCTTCATTCTTGTCTGCATCATTTAGGTCCTTCCTGTTCAGCAAAGAAGGAAACCCCAACAAGCGCAATGTGCACAATGAGACTTGCCTGCATGTGCTGTGCCAAGGCCCACAGATCCTGCTGCTGCCAGAGGGAGCGCTGTCACCACGACTGGCCAGACCACAGAGGGACGAGCAGCGCCGTGCAGACTGCCTGCAGGTACAGACGCACGGGGGGGGCAAATATAGATTAGTGTCTACGCTTGCATGGTAGTGGGAATAAACTGCATTCTATGAAGCCACAGCTGACACATGTGGTGTGTCTTTCCATTACCAGATGATCCTGAACTGGACTGGGGCCAGGCTAGAGGGAGGCCAGTACGAGAAAGCTAATGTTAACGCCACCGACAACCACCACAGCACCTGTCTGCACTATGCTGCCGCTGCAGGCATGAAGAGCTGTGTGGAGGTGAGACAAAGTCTTGGACGCTATTCAAACTCCAGGGTTTTTCATGCATATGAAAATGTTTGGAGTCCAACAAAGAGGTTTGACCTTCAACCAAAGGTCAAAAAGCAGGGCAGTGCTTAAAAAACAATAATTTAACCCTTTTTTAAAATGTGGTTTAGTTGATTCAAAGTTAAAATACACTTTTTGAATATGAAGTGGTTGTAATGACAGTAAAATACAGATACGTCTGTTAAGTAACAGACTCTTTTAACACTGTATGAATGCTTGCATGTGTAGTCACTACCCAAAGGTCAATTTAAGTTCAAATCCTATTTTCTCTGCGGGTGATCTGTATTTTATGTAACTGGAACAGTCAAATAATCTACAATCCAATGATTTTGAATTATGCCAACTCCTCGTATATCTGCTTTGTATTTTACCAGCTCAAACGAGCACTTCGGCAGAAAATTAACCTTCTGGAATAAAAGTTTTTATAAATCTCACATGTACGACCCTGTGAAAATCAGAAATTCGATTTTTTTAAGATAAAAACTTTAAAGACTTTTCCATTGGCTTCTGCATCCTTCCTTCAACCATCTTGATCTATACTTACCAAAAACTGTCTTTTGACTCCTGTTGATTTTAATCTCTTTCAATGTCTGCCTTTGCTCCTTTTGTAATTTTTTTCATCTCTTCCCCTTTCCCATATTTTTGGTTTCCTGTCCTGTTGTTTTCTCATCTTCCCCTTTGTGTTCCTGCTGTTTGCTCCCATTGTCTTTGCCTCTTCCTTCCTCTGCGTCATTTGTTGAAAGTGCCTTAATTTCTTGTTTCTCTCTATTATCTCTTTCTCCCCTTCCTTTTGTTGCCTCGTCCCTCCTCTAGCTGCTGATCCAGAGTGAGGCGGACCTTTTTGTGGAGGACGAAGACAAGCTGACGCCATGCGATCACGCCGAGCGGCACCACCACACCGAGCTGGCCCTCAGCCTGGAGTCGCAGATGGTTTTCTCCTCCTCTTCAGCTCAGCAGTCACACACAGACGCACACGGTGAAACCAACCTGCTGCAGTACAAGGAGGTGAGACCGTGGTTACCCGATGTAGGGTTTCCCTGCTGGCCTAAGTTGTTTTTAAGCTTTTTAGTCACTGTTGAGTCTTTAAAACATTTGCTTGACAAGGAGTACTGTGCACAAGCATGTTCATTTAGATCTTATGATTAAATTTTTGGCATAGAAAACAACTCTTGTGTAAAAATTCAAACAAGAATTGAAATATTTATCAGATTTAAGGTTCGACTTTTTGTTTTATGACGATAATGAGGACTGGTAAATGTATGGCAATAATGTGATTACACCAGATTACTCTTTAGGTGGAGCATTTCCAGCTCCCTATTTTCACTTGTGGACTATATCTATGCTAGGGTTTGGTGATAATGGAGAAAACAAAATACTGAATAGCAGATTATCTGTGATTGCAGGTAGCAGCATTTATTAGTGCAAATGAAATGAATAGCATTTCCATTCTTCTTTTTCATTAAGTTACTGCCATTGATTCAGAGCAGCAGCAGCAGCATGAACGTACAATAGCAGTGACATGGCATAAGCACAAAAATATCTTGGGTCAAGCTTTTTAACCAGTTGCTTAAAGCCCTCATTTACCACCATATAAATGCATCAGTAATTTCCACCCACAGCTTGGTCTTCTTGTCATATGGAGTGCAGCTAGTGAGTGCTCCAGCGGGACTCGGTGCAGTCATTTAAGTTTTGATTGCTAGTATCTGCTCCTCACATTTCTTCATAGCCTGGTTGTACTCAATGGTTTGTTTTGCCTCAATTGGTGAAACAAATTTAATGTTTCTTGCATATTTTGCAAAGTACTGTAGTGGCTCCTTTTTTAGATACTGAATTGTTATCAGAGAATGACACGTAGCTTTCGCTCTCAGACGTGTCTGCTTGTCTGTGTTGTTGCACAATGAGACAAGCCCAGAATTTATACCGGTATTATTGCCATTATATGATATGGCACAGCACTAATCAAGGATAGCTTTGCTTGATTCACAGTATAGAATAATCTGTATTTATTTTATGTTTGTGCAGCACTTAAGCTCATCTACTGCCTGGAACAAGCTGCTTTAGCTCCTCTCTCTTTAAGGCGGCTTTCTTCTGAGTGGTTGCCCATCGTGACCAAAAAAACGAAACGGCGAGGAGCTTCTGTCTCACAGTCGGAGCTGTGTGCCTCAGATGACCATATTGAGAATTGTTATCAGTTTCCACTGATATCATAAAGATCCAAGATTAGGCGATCTGTCCGTGAAGCAGAGCGTTTATGGCACTCTGAATCCTGAGCTTTAGGCTTACACGGATTACTTACACGCACGTTGACCTCATTATTTGAAACTTTGGACATCAACATAAGCGTTTATCATTGTAACATGAATATGACAGAAAATAAGAAGCGTAAGCATAGCAGGTCAAATTTAAATCATGTGAAGATAAAGAGGTAGATGGTTGCCCTCATGAACTTGTACAGTGTGTTTATTTTTCAGATTCAAGACTATATATCTTAGGACAGTGAGGTCACCATTGCTAATCTGTGTAGATTAAAACAATCTGGGGGCGAAATGTGCTGTCTGTGTTTTGAAGGTCATGTATGTGATTTTGTTTCAACACTGTGTCCAACCTGAACTGTACTTAGTGTTTTGTGTTCTGCATTTGTGCAGACACTGTTTATAGATTTTTAGAATATTTCTACTTGGGTCTCCAGCTTCTTGGCCAGATTGTCCCTTGTTGATGTTCTCTCTTCACAATCCACAACTTACAGTGGTTCTTACACGTATATAGTAATACACAGATCCACAGATACACACACCACGTCTCTCAGAGTCCCAGTTAAACCGAGGTCACCAGCACTGCTGTATAGCTGCGGCTGCTGCCAGCTGATAGCATTTTGATCTTCCTTCCTGCAGCCAAATCCATGCTAATGCTTAATCTGTCTCACCCACCGCCACCCCCAACCCCGACTGCCCCACATCCCAGTCCTTTTTATCGTTTCCACATTATCTTTTTCACTTCTTTTAACATTTTTCAGTCTTATATTTTATATTCTGTTTTTGTTTCCATCTTTTACCTTCTCTCTGACTGCAGGTTTTTCTCTCTTCCTAACATTTCTCCCTTCTGTATCCTCTCAGCCTTACGAGGGGTTGAAGATTCAGGATCTGCGCAGGCTGAAGGACATGTTGATTGTAGAGACAGCCGACATGCTGCAAGCCCCCCTCTTCACTGCAGAGGCCCTGCTTCGAGCACATGGTTTGTCATAAAGTTGACTTTCATATGTGACCTTAAGTAACCCTCGCAGCGCTGTTGTCACGATGCATGCGTTTGTCTCAGTCTTTCTAATAACGTTTGACTTGCTCAGACTGGGACAGAGAAAAGCTTCTGGAAGCCTGGATGTCCGACGCTGAGGGCTGCTGCCAGCGCTCTGGTGTCACCATGCCGACCCCACCGCCTAGCGGGTACAACGCCTGGGACACCCTGCCCTCCCCCCGCACTCCTAGGACCCCACGCTCTCCCCTCACTCTCACTCTCACTTCTACCACCGACAGCTGCCTCACGCCTGGAGAGGAGGGCCTGGCCATGGTGAGCAGTGGTGATATATGTTAATATAAGAACATCAGTCATTCATGATGAAAAATAGATCATGTATGAAGGCATATTTAGTACAGGGTAGACTCGTTGTGCGCTTTCTTTTTGAAGGCAGAAAGCGATGTCTCATTTATCTAGTGGTTGCAGGTTAATGTCTAATCCTACTAAAAAGGGGATCAAGGCCATCAGCAGTAATTCTTTGTCATTCCATATAAACATTAGCCTCTGGTTTACTGTCAGTCTTAAGGAAGTCTGCCTGAAAATCAACGTTGAGGTTTTCTGTTAGGTTTTCAGAATGTTTGACCTGTGAGGTGGAACATTTGCAGAATAAGATAAAAGCTGTTTGGGCCGTAGAAGAAATGCCAGAGAGTCTGATATGGCTAAAGTACAACAGTCCAGCAATCTGTGGCCTCAAAAGTACAGAGTTAATCAAAGACAGAACATCCTGAACTGGTTCTGCTATTGCATTTCTCCTCTGTGTATGAGGATGGAAATGACATGTCAAAGAGAAGTAATCTTATCAACAGAAATAAAAAAATTTGAAATCATGTGACTGATTTGCTCCGTCCCCCCTGCAGTGTGGAATCTGTCTCTGCTCCATCTCAGTCTTTGAGGACCCAGTGGACATGTCCTGTGGCCACGAGTTCTGCAGAGCCTGCTGGGAAGGGTACGCGCATGAACATTCAGTGTGTAAGCGTGTGTGTGTTTTTTTTTGTTTTTTTTTATTGAAGCAGATGTGTTTTAGCTCAGTTCTGTGTGTGTGTCTTTCTCAGGTTCCTCAATGTAAAGATTCAGGAGGGAGATGCTCATAATATCTTCTGTCCAGCATATGAGTGCTACCAGCTTGTGCCTGTGCATGTGATAGAGAGCGTGGTTTCCAGAGAGATGGACCAGCGCTATCTGCAGTTTGACATCAAGGTAGAAGTCAAAATAATCGTTTGCACCTTCTCTTCAAGACTGGGCCTTTGTTCGTTTCTTGTTGCACTATTTAGTGACATTTTCTTTGTTTCGTCACGTTCCCTGTCTTTTCTCTGACATTGTTTCCAACATCCCCGTTTGCAGGCATTTGTGGAGAACAATCCATCCATCCGTTGGTGTCCTGCAGCTCGTTGCGAGCGGGCGGTGAGGCTGACCCGACCGGGCCCGGGGGACACTGACCCATCAAGCTTCCCCCTTCTGCCCTCACCTGCTGTTGATTGTGGAAAGGGTCACCTCTTCTGCTGGTAAGCTGCAGGATTTATGATTCAGACATGGCCATGTTTTATTGACACTGTCACTGACATGTAATTTAGCAAAGTCGGACACAAGTCTGGATCTGTTACATTAGAGGCTAGTGTGTTATTTAACCCGAACACCTAAATATTATAGTCATTTTATGTTCATGCAGCTGGACAAAGGCTGCTGTGTGAGCAGTAACGTCAGCATTGTGCACACAGATCATAATGGCATGAATAAATATTGTTTTATGAAATGTGCATACACATGTTCTAACTTACTACGCAAAAAAGAGTTATTACTGTTTAATCTGAAACCACGCCAGCCAAATCTGTTTTATCAGAAACTTTTACTTCTTTTGTGTTCCCTTCTGTTTTCTTTATTCCCAGAAACTCTTAGGATTCTGTGTTTGCTCTTATGCTTATGTAGTCTTGGTTAGCTGGATTTGACTTTATTAACTTCTCTCTTTATCTCCCGGTGTCTGCAGGGAGTGCCTTGGCGAGGCCCACGAGCCATGTGATTGTCAGATGTGGAGGAACTGGCTCCAGAAAGTCACAGAGATGAAGCCTGAAGAGTGTATGCCTGTGCTGTTTTGTTTGTTTTACTGTAACTTTAACTGCCCAGCAATATGGTAGTTAAGAGCAGCTGTCAGGACGTCTTATCTGGATGTGCCTGCTGTATTTTATGTGATGCTGGCAGGTGTTTAAGTCACTAATATTTGCGTAATGTGCCGGAATGTGTCTGCAGGCCAGGTGTTAGACTGCAGAGATGTTGCTAATGTGTGTGCGTCCACCTGTGTGTTTGTGCGCTTTCCCACAGTGGCAGGTGTGAGCGAGGCCTATGAGGATGCTGCTAACTGCCTGTGGCTGCTGACCAACTCCAAACCGTGTGCCAACTGCAAGTCTCCCATTCAGAAGAATGAGGGCTGCAACCACATGCAGTGTGCCAAGGTAAACACTAAACTCTGTCTGCTGTGTGTCTTCGTTTAAAGGCATGAATGTTGATTGCTTGGTGTATTAAATTTTTTTTTCTGTATTTAATTTTATTCCTAATAAATTAACCTTGGTGTTTTTCTCTCTGTGTAGTGTAAGTATGACTTCTGTTGGATCTGTCTGGAGGAGTGGAAGAAACACAGCTCATCAACAGGTGGCTACTATCGCTGTACTCGCTATGAGGTCATCCAGCAGCTTGAAGAGCAGTCCAAAGAGATGACTGTAGAGGTATAAAGACTTACTCACTCATAAAATGGAGAATACACACACACTTTATCCCATATAAGCTTCCACTGATGTAAAAACACTTGCTGGACACTTTTTTTTTTTGGTCCAGTTTGTTAGTACCTGGTTGGACCCCCTTTCCCCCTGAAAACATTGCTCTTAGATTTTGGTCCATATTGACATAATAGGGTCACACAGTTGCCTGCCCAGCTGTGATGTGAATCTCGTGTTTTACCGCATCCCAAAGATGCTCTATTGGATTGAGATCTGGTGACTGGAGGCCACAGAGGTCACAAGGTGCATAATCCTGCTGGAAGTGGCAATCAGAAGACTCTTACATTGTGGCCATATAGGGATGGAGCAGCTGTGGTGTTTCGACGATGGTTATTTGGTACTAGGGGGCCTCCACACCATTAAATGACCAACACCAGCCTGAATTGTTGATACAAGCCAGGATGGATCCATGCTATCATGTTATTTTTGACTTTGTCATTGGCAGCAGAAATTGGAACACATCAGACCAGGCAACATTTTTTACAATCCTCTGTCAAATTTCACTGAGCATGTATGTTTCCTGTTCTTAGCTCTTCTGCATATCGTAGTTGTAATGTTGTTGTTTGAGTTACTGTTGTGTTCCTATCAGCTCATGGCAGTGTGCCCTTTTTCCTCTGACCTCTGGCATCTGCAGGGCATTTTCACATAGAGAACTGCTGCTCACTGGATATTTTCTCTTCTTACTCTCTGTAAACCTTAGAGTAGATCAGCAGTTTCTTAAATACTCAGACCAACAACAACACCACGTTCCAAATCACTTTAATCACCTTTCTTCCTCGCTCTTATGTTCAATTTGAACTTCAAAGGGTTGTCTGGACCCTGTCTACATGCAGTGAGTTGTTGCCATGTGATTGGCTGATTGGATATATGTATTAATGAGCAGCTAAATAGGTATAGCTGAGTGAGTCTGTATTCACACAAATATACAAGTTGTTCAGTCTCTTTCACTGAGTACAGTGAGTAAACACACACACACAGAGGAGTTTAAATGAAGTAAGAGTTTTTCTTTTTTACAGGCAGAAAAGAAGCACAAAAGTTTCCAGGAGCTGGACCGTTTCATGCACTACTACACTCGCTTCAAGAACCATGAACACAGTTACAAGGTAATACACTCGACAGATACGTTCATAACGATGCAAACCTCCCCCAAAAATCTAAAATGCTTCCAGAGAAACATCTCGTGATCATTTGGTGTGTGTATTCTCTCTTCTGTGTGTGTGTGTGTGTGTGTGTGTGTGTTAGTTGGAACAAAAGCTGCTAAAAACGGCTAAAGAGAAGATGGAGCAGCTGAGCAGGGCCTTCATTAGCCGTAAGTGTCCTGCACTGATCTCATGAAAAGGATTCAAAAGAAGTCTCAGTAAACTGCTTGTCAGCTGCAAGCCGTTTGCCCGAGAATAGCATATTTGTTTTTGCCAAAGCGCAAATAGGTCATGCCTTTCAGACTCACACCCAAGCTTTGGTGCGTCCGGGTCATAAGACATTAATCCTGTGCTCATTAAAGTCATGGCTAGCTATAAAACACGTGTCTTTTCTTCTGCAGGTGAAGGCACTCCCCCAGACACACGCTTCATTGAGGACGGCGTGACTGAGCTGCTGAAGACGCGGCGCGTGCTGAAGTGCTCTTACCCATACGGCTTCTTCCTCCAGCAGGGCAGCACCCAGAAAGAGATATTTGAGCTCATGCAGGTATTTTAATATATATCCAACAAGTGTGCATCCTCTGCATGAACAGGACTAACACCCCTGAAGTGCCTACAGGGATTCCTGGACTCTGTAGGGGTAAACTGTGTAGAACATAAACAAATTTTGGGGTGTATTATGGCCTTGGTGGACAGAGGACTGGGTACATCTGTTAAAATATACACGCAAAAGAGTCGGTTTAATGGTTTTTTTTCGCATTTCAGTCACACTACATTATAAATGGGATGGAAACCTCTTATTAGGAAAAATCAGTGATTGCGCTATTTTTGCAAGTGTAAGTACTTGATGCAACCAAGTGGTCATGCAGAAGTTGAGCAGCACGATCAACCTACCACTGTTGATTGCAAGACGATTACACAGTCTGACGGGGGGAAGACGGTGTTCAACACTTTCTTCTGTTTGTCCTCCCAGACTGACTTAGAGATGGTCGTAGAGGATCTGGCCCAGAAGGTCAACCGTCCGTACCTGAGGACGCCGTGCCATAAGATCATCAGCGCGGCCCGCCTGGTGCAGCAGAAGAGGCAGGAGTTCTTGGCATCAGTGGCCCGTGGCGTCGCTCCCAATGACTCTCCAGAGCCTCCTCGCAGGAAGTAAGAAAGCACACACACAACGCACAGAGAGACAATATGGTTCTAATTTTGGCTCAAGTTAACAAATTCACTACATAGAGCCACTTAGAGGGATTCAGGGGATAAAGAAGTGGCATAAGAACTTAAACTGAAGCTGAGTGTTGTTTAGTTTGCTTCAAATGTGTTTTAAAAAAAAGTAATTGTGTGCTAACATTCATTTCAGTTACCCTGGAGGATCGTGGGATTGGGAGTACCTTGGCTTTGCTTCTCCTGAGGTAAACACAAACGCCTTCTGTCACACCACACTCACAAACACTAACTTCTCTTCGTTCTGCTAATATCATGCCTCATATCAGGCTCATGCCTCGCTAATGCTACTTCCTAAACCTCCGCTTTAGTGACCTACTTGTGTATGAGGTCGTATTAATGCATGACTGCGGCGGCAGCAGCTGACATAGTTTGCTTATGTGTGTTAAGATGGGAAGTCGGCACTCCGTACTGGCGGCAGATCAGAGAGAGAGACAGTCGCAGGTAATTCACCAGTTTTTTTTTTTTTGGCATATTTAGGGACGAGCATGATGGGCTGGATGTTGTTTTCTGTGCTTGAGATTTTGATGCTGCCTGACACAAAATAGCTCCCTCAAGTTGTCTTTTTCTTATAATAGAACTCGAATAACTCTTTGCAGGATTATGCTGACATCCAGTACCGTCGCAGACACAGACCACGGCGCAGAGGAGACATGCTGAGTTTGCACAGCCTTAGAAGCAGCAGTAACACACCAGAGACCAGCAGGAGGAGTGACAACACAGGTGTGGCAAGCATTTTAATGCACCGTATAACTGGCTTATATCAAGTATTTAACAAAAGATTTTTTCAGATTAATACAGTGTAGTGTTCATTAATTTATTGTTCTGTATACAGCCGGTAGAGGCAGTATATTGGCAAACACTCTGTTCTGGATCCTGCCTATATTAATAAATTGTCTTGTCAGTGCACAAGACAACCAGTAAATGGGATTTTACTTTATTGCTCCATCAGTCTGTTCCAGTCGAAGCACCCAGAGCCATCGATCACTGGGATCAATTTGTAATCAAGCCACGCACAGCAGTCTGTGCTTTAATGTGACATTTCGTGTTTCAGAAGGCACGGAGAGGGGCGAGGGTCGCAGGAGAGCGCTCGGCTCGCTCGACGAAGACGATCCCAACATCCTTCTGGCCATCCAGCTGTCGCTGCAGGAGTCGCGCCGAGAACGAGGACTGGAGGGAGGGATGGAGGGGAGGGTGGATCAGGAGAGAAGAGCGGCTCCAGCGGGAGACCTGGTCGATGCTGTTTTACACTCTCTCAACACAGAGGGTCCTCCAGGAGCCAGAGGCTCATCCTTCCCCGCGTCCATCCTGGATCCTCCTCACCCGCCTAACAGGACAGACTCCACCTCCCAGCCTTGTGTATCCAGCTCCCTCCCCCTCCCTCCACCTCCTCCCTCCCTCAGCGCAGAGCTGCTGGAGCTGGGAGACAGCCTTATGAAACTGGGGAGCATAACCACTCCTTACGACCTGGACACAAACACGCAGGAGCAGCTCAGCTCACACCACACATACATACACAGTACACATGCTGCTCCTTACACCACTGAACCTGCCTGCAGCAACCCCAGCAGCCACAGACAGGATCAGAGTGCACTGACTGCCCCATATGTGCTCGATCATATCACCATCACAGACCCTCGTTATGACAGCAAAGAGCAGACTTCCTGCCATTTGAGTGCATATTTAGCCAAGGCTGAGCACGCCGCCTCCTGCCTCCCCGCTCCAAACCCCGCACATCCTAGTTCCTATAGCCGGGAACATGCAGCCACGTACAACAGCAACCCTAAACCAGACAGCTCCTACAACCCCTGCCCCGAACACAGCAGCTCTTACACCGCAGAGCGCCCTGCTGCCTACGCCGTCGAACGTCCCCCTAAATCAGACCCCCAGCCCCCTACCCAGTTGTGCCTCCCATCTCCAGAGCTTGAGCCAGAGCTGCTGCTCTCACCAGTGATTCCCCCAGGGGGCCCTTTCACCCCCAGTGACCCTCAGAGCCTGGAGCCCTTGGACCCCACAGCCAGCGCTCAGCTGCTGGATAACATCATGGCCTGGTTTAACAACAACATAAACCCCCAGAATAACCCGCAGAGCCTGGCTCTCATCCCCTCCCCGCCCACCACAGAGACAGACTCCTCTCCCGACACACACACCGAGACTGAGAGCCAGACCTCCGCCCCCATCCGGCAGCCCCTGGAGGGCGAGTCGGAAGTAGGCAGAGGATCGGCGACCGGCCCACCGGGAGCCAAGGGCGTGAAGACGTCGAGGCCGAGCACTCTGGAGCTGGAAAAAAGAGACGCTGGAGAAGAGGGTGTGGACGCAGGGTGTGTGGCTGACCTGTCGCTGGACGAAGCGCACACACACCCGCATTCACACTCCCAACATGGAAACAGTCCCGCACACACTGCCCCGGCAATGGAGAGAGACTCAGACCTCGTCCTTCAGTTAGAGGAGGAGCGGTCACCTGAAGAGTGGACGGAGCAGGAACACCTAGTGTGAAAGTGACAGATGTAGAGAGAAAGAGAAGGTAGAGCCGAGATAAAGAGAAAGAAAACCAATCAGAGAGAAGCACTGATGGATGATGCAAGATGTGTGATGGTGGTGCCTGTGTTTGGGGGGTGGAGTGTTTACTGTATGTATTATACTGTATTTAGAGAGGACTTAAAGACCTGCGGACTCTGTCCAGTAAAGATGATGTCATACACGTTTTGATTATTTTTAAGTGCTTTTTGTCTGCTCTAAAAACAGACAAATTATTCTTTGAAGTGTTTAAACCATGAACGGAGAGCTACTGATATCATAACACAACAAAATGCTCCGTGTTTTAGTTTAGTTTAGTTTTTTTCTTATTTTAATTTAATTCCCCACCTCTTCTGTTTGTCTCCTAAGTTTGTTCAGGGTGAAGTTTTGGTGCTGTTCATGCTGAAATCCAAACTTGCCTCATTTAACTACACTTGATTCTCACACTAACCCAACCACAAGCCAGTTCAGAGCTCCAAGAGCCAAATATATGAAGATAACTGTAACTTTGGAGCCTGTTTATAGCGTGCTGTACAATCAGAGGGCCTAATTCTGATTTCTGGACCTTCATGCACACTGTGCCTGTTTGTGTTAGTGCCAATACAGTCCTGATCTTTCTTTTCAGCAGACTGGCACAGTCTGCTGCGTAAACGTCACACTATTACAGCACCTCTCTGCACGTGAAGGTCAGAGGCTGCAGAGCAGCGCCCATAAAGCTGGAAGTTCAGTGGGTGCTTGTTTGCAGAGCAGATTGAGTTCTGTTTTTTTTTTTTTTTTTTTTCTGGGGGGGGGTTGTTTTTGTTTGTTTTTTTTGCTACTCGCTGCACATTTCAAATGTTTTGTATCAAAGATGCATCTTCATGTTTAATCTGCAGAGATTTACAGTGTTTTTCTGCCACTTTGGCTCAGTGTTAGTGCACCAGATCTCACGTAGCACACAAAATACAGTGGGTATTAAATGAGGTAATGCATCAACCAATCAAATTAATCTGAGAATAATGATATCCAGTATTTAACCTCCTCAGATCATTCATACTTGCTTTGATTTTAAAAAAACTACAAATATCACAGAGGAAATAATTTGGCATTTTAAGCTGAAGACTAACTTCAGAATGATCCTTTACTTTATTAAACCTGATAAATAAAATACAGTCAAAAGGTTTAAAGTGCTTCAAACAAGTCGTCCAATCAAAATTATTAAATGTTAAACCAATTAAAAGAGTAAACAGTTAGCAGATGGTAAACTAAGATATGCTTTATCACTTTGGATTATACACAATGTGTTTTTAAAGTTTGACTTTACACTGCAGCACATTTAAACAAGCTGATTTTTCATAAAAAGCGAGATTTCAGCCACTTTCACAAGTTTTGTCTTCACAGAAGCTGTTGTAAACGGTGTTTATACGACTGTAAAATAAATGAGAATATATTGTTAAAACGCTGCTGCACTGATTCATGAATCTGTTTGTTTGGCGCTCGTGTGAGCTGGTTCTTTGAGTCGTGCGGTTTCTGAGCCAAAGCAGGCATAACAAATACTGTAAATGTGAGCACATTTTATGGTTTTATGTAACTTTTTATCATATCTTTTCCACTACTTATAGCGCCCTGCAGTGTGCTCTAATCGATGGGACGTGGGTTTGGGTTTCTGCTGTATTTGATTCTTTTTATTCCTTTAATTATAGAGAAGATGTTTCTTTCTGTTGAGACCAGAGTTGTTGGATCTGTGTGCCTTTTTCTTTGTTTTGTTTTGTTCTGATTGTATTTATCTGTTGCTATTTATTAGTGTCATTGCTTTTTAAACATGCTTCATAATGAAAGATGATGATGATGATGATAACACTTTAATACACTGATTTTGTTTAATCCCCCCCCACGGGTGAGTCGCAGCGCCCACATTTTCAGCCCTGAATGAAAAACCTCTTTGAGCCTCTCTGAAGGAATCCGCTGCTTTTCCATGATGATCAAAAAACACTTTATGTGAATGTTGAACTTTGATTTGACGCCGCCTTGGAAATGTAACTGCTGGGATGTCATCAAGCCTCAAATCTTTAAACTTTATTGCCCAAATACAATGTTTACAAGGGAACTAAACACTGCCTGCTGTGATGAGGACTGATTTGGTGCTCTGGGGAGTGAAATGAGAATAAATGTGGGGATTTTAAATGTCCTTTGATGGCATGCCAAACAAATACAAAGACACCCTTTGTAAAACTCAAACTGACTCACTTAAAACTGATTTTTAAGCATTTTCTGAAACCTGAAGTGATAAAGTGAGAACTGTGAAGGTAGCTGGCTCATAGCATTGCACGAAGCCCGCTGAGATGTGAGGGCAGTTGTGACATTTCAGGCTCCGCTCCCTGAGGATGGAGGGGATTCACGTCAGTGTTTGGGCACACGCTGCGTCATTGTTTTGCAGAAACATGCTGCCGAATGTCGGATGTGTGGTGGGGCTGCGGAGGGACAGCGGCTAAATATTCCCTTTTTTTTTGTGTGTGTGTGTGGCATCGATGGCGTCATGCAAGCGGTTGCATTAGTGTTTATGATTTAATGCTCCCTCATCTGACATCTTCAGAGTTTAAGAGATTGAAATTGCACTCTCACAGATTATACTTGATACATTCCCAGCTGGTCAAAAGAAAGGGTTTGATGTGTGGCCAAAACTAAAAATGAAAGTGTCAGTGCAAAGTTTACTCTCAATAAAAAGAACTGAAAGTGCACTGCAGTGACATTTTTATTTTTTTGTTTTAGTGCTTTGATTTCTGAGCTTCCATCAGCAAGAAAAGGGAACATGTTCCCTGATTAGTCTCCTATTTATCGTAATGTACATGGTAGACTGACGTCTTTTCACTTCATGTTGCTGTCAAGTCCGCAACAGCTCTTAGCATGTACATGGAAATGATAAGTAAACCCATTATCTTTAGGTTTAGACTGCATTTATTTAAAAAACTTAACACAGCTGCACGTCAGGAGAACAGAAGTGTTAGATTTTTGTTTTTATTACTTTTTTTTTAAATTGATTTGGGGTTTGGGAAGGCTTTCCTTATTTTAATTTGTTTTCATTGTGTAAAATGTTCAGTTTGATTAGTTTCACGATTTATTTCTGTAATCTGTCAGGAGGAATATTTTTAGATATGCAGCTATTACAGCACAAATCCAATGCGGCATCTCAGCCTCACTAAGTACGACCAAACTGCCAAAGACTTAAGCAAGACACAGCACTGTGGAAAAGACTTGAGTCACCCCTTGCTGTCTTTATATTTTGCTTTTAAGCAGCCAAACTTCTTGATCTCTGTTCTTGAGGCTTTCTGAAGGTCTTTCAGTTTTTATTTACAGCTCAGGAATGCATCTGGCTCTTCAGTTCATACACCTACTGGTCAGTCTTATCAGAAATCTTTTTCACTGGAAGGATGTCTGTCAAGAAGATCCATTTTCCTAGCAAAGTATAACGGATATCTCAAGACGTTTGCACTATATTGTAGCGTTTTCTGATTATTTGTTATTTAGTTTACACACAGTAAGTTTTTACTGTCGTTATAGTTTACTAATGTTGACACTTTGACAACATATATTATAATAAAATGTATATATGCATTCCTTCTATTAAATATTTTCTTTAAAGTTCAATAAATCCAAATATTTGTTAGATTCGGAGCATAAGTTCAAAACGCTGTTTATTCTTCCACCAGTAGGCGGCAGTGTTGTCGTGCAGCGTGTCTTCTTCTTCATCGCCGTCGCTCCTTTAATGACGTCGTAAGTGCGCGAGTCAAACGTAATTGTTACCACAGCGGCCTGTGTGTGTTTTCACCCGATCGCTGCAATTTTTCTCTTTGGTGGAGGATTTGTCTCTACAGTCCATCACCATCATGAAACTAGTCAGGTAAGCGGAGTCTGGAATGCCCCATTTAACGAACGAGTGAACGTGGGATGATGAAGTGAAGGCGTTGCGGCTGGATGGGTTTAGATGGAAAGCGGAGAAGAGTAGGATAAGATATGAGCGGGAAGTGTCGGGCCGAATGAATGGAGGCTGTCCGGAGTTAGAATGACCGCACTCACAGTTAAACTACACCTGTAGTGTTAACTCATGCTCGGTAGTTGGAATTAGCTGCATGCATCGACGATTTTTAAACGTACTTTGGTTCGTGGACGTTAGCAGACTCGTAGGTCCGGCCTCGGTTAAGCTGCTACTCAGCGAACGAAATAAACTTAGCCTAAATGTGTAGTAGCAGGAGCATAAGGCTAGTCCAGTATTTATTTTAGTTATGGCGGTTAACTCTGGAGGGTTTCAGCGGGTTTTCATAAGGTCGTCTCACTCCAGGGGTGGTTTTGTTTTGCAGGTGAAAGCTATGCAGCTAGTAGCTAGCTTGAGGCTAGTTTTTGGTTCATTTCCAGGCTGAACTCAAACATAGATGTTCATCTTCTTCCACGATGCCCACAGGTTTTTGATGAAGCTCAGCCATGAGACTGTTACCATCGAGCTGAAGAACGGCACTCAGGTCCACGGCACCATCACAGGTAAGACTCAGCTGGAGGTGATTTATTAAACAGGTATTAAACAGGTGTTGGGCTCACCTCCTTACCGCTTTCATTAGTTGTGCTGCCACTCTAAGCCAATTCATTCCGCTAAGAATGCTGTAGTTCAGGCGTTTCAAAGTAATGCTCAGAATTTTAATGTAACGGTGGCCAGTAAGGCTCATTTTCAAGCCAGCACCCAATTCTTCCTAAAGCTAGAGTCCTGTGGAAATGCTGGGAAATGTTTATATATAGCTCACTTAAATATAAATATAAACGAAGTATGCAGGTCCCAGGTTTGCAATTAATAATTTTAAAGATCAATAAACTGGTTTTAGCTGAATGCAACTTTCCCAGCTCCCTCTGTTGGTAAATACAGTGAGCATCATAAAAAGTGAAGTTTGTTCCATAGTCTTCATATGCTTGTGTATTGCCTTTAATGTCCCAGTGATACTTCAGTGAGAAAACACTATCAAGTCCTCCTGTGCATTGTACTTTTTCACTGCTGTTTTTTAATTTCTTAATAAAAGAATAATCATAGCATCAGTATAAGGATTTACAAATGTCAGTGAATTCCTGGAGGGAGATTGTAGAAATTATCAAAATGGAAGAGGGGGAATGGTCAAAGGAGGAAGTGGAAAAACACAGTTTAAAAAAAAAAAAAGAAAAAATCTAACCTCAGTAAAGAGATGTAACCGAAGATATTTTATTTGTTTCTATCAGCTGGCACTGCGTATGAAACGTTGGGACATGACTGCACTGTAATTAACACATACTGCACCACACACAGCATAAATGTTGTAGGACCTAGAAAGATTTCCCGCAGAACTCTCAATCAGATAAAACGGTTAGCTTTTGGTTACTCAGTGTACTGTGTGACATGTCTATTAAATGTGCTCCAGTGCAGCCCTCCATAATCCAAACTGCACAGTGGTCAACATAGCTGATGCTGTGTGGGTTCGAACAGGGAAGGAAGTAACAGCGGCGTTCACCAGGAATGGGAGAAACACAACAAAGTAGTGATGTGCAAATGAAGCAGAGAACCAGTACTGACCCACTTGAAAGTGGGTTCATTCATTCAAAGCTTTGTTTCAGTGACATCTAGTGGTGGAATAGGAGTCAGCAAAACAATGTGTTGATAATAGTGCTGATTGTAAGGAGGGTTTGTGTGAATGATATAAATACAATTTTGCAAAGGCAGTCAGTTGATTCTGTAAACGTATCTAATAGTTGGAAGAAGGCGTGCTCTGGGAAGCTCAGTGTGTGCTGGGATGGTAGGGTGTGAGATTATACTTTCCACAGTTTTGACACTTCAGGTGTTTATGTCATAACTTCGCCCTTCTCCACGGTCGGCTGGTTGATCATCAGCACATGTGGCCCACATGTGCTGATGATCACAGACACCCTTCTTTGACACGTCCCCCATCTGACAAGACACTCTGCAGGTATATGAGCTGTCCATGGAAAACCAACACACCACGTCTGAACCATAATTTCAGCATTAGTCTAAACCGTGTCAGTAGAGCTGGGCGATATGAGATTTTTTTATATCACGATATGTTTTTTTCATTTCAGGCGATAACGATATCTATCACGATATAAGCCAAATAACTATATTTGTAAGATTTAAATGTGCCGTTGCTCACAAGTAAAATGTGAAATAATCAGCAGCTTGTTTTTATTTAAATATTTATTTCCCATAATAAGTTCAACAGGGTAGATGTACTTAAGGAACATGAGACTTTTTCAGATAAATAAAGGCAAATATTGCAAACTACACAAAAGGCAGCCGCTAAAGCGTTTAAGTTTCAAAATAGAACAAACGAAACAGACTAAATTGTCAATTCCACTTAGAAACAAAATATTAATTCTAAAAATAAATCTTAGTTTGTTTTACAGAAGAACAGACAAAACTGACTAACTTTTGTCAATATCAAATAAACTGAGAACTAAAAGGAAATTCTCAATCTCTCCTTGTTGTATAGCTTAGCTTTTCAAACAGTTTTAACAGTTACTTTAGTCTGACAAAAGCCGAATGACGAATTAGCGCTTCCAGTCAGAGACTGAGGCTACGTCCACACGTACACGGGTATTTTTGAAAACGGAGATTTTCCGTTTTCGTTTTAAAAAATAATCCCGTCCACACATAAAGGCAGAAATGAAGGAAAACGCTGCTATGAACATGCCAAAGCAGCAGGTGGCGCTAGATTCCTAACCGTGCAGAAATGTTGGCCAATCAGAAGTCTAGAAGCCTCGGTGGGAAAAAGTAAACAAAGCTGGGGCATAGAAGCAGAACCGAGTCGTATGTGTGGAGGGACAGTAACTGTGTGTATATGTAAGCATTTAAACACTGCAGAGAGTAGAATTAACAGTAACAGTATTGTAGAAATTCATTTCACCGAAACAATAACGTGGCGCACAGTGTGACGCATGCACCAGTTTATTGTATTTCCAGACTTGCTTTCGGCACAATTTACAGTGCACGCTACTCTGTTTTTTGTCAGACTTGAAATAGCCGAAATACCTTCACACTACGGAACTTCTATGGCTCTTCCGTTTGACAATCTCTCCGGCGTTGGAACCATCATCTGTTTTCTCTTCGGTCACGCTCGGTTGATTTTTCTAGTCGGCACACTCATTTCCTCCATTACCCGCTGGCTGCTTCCCAAACAAACACACGTGCGGCTTGGCACTTGTGCTGTACGTAACAAGTCACGCGACGTGACGCTGCGGCTGTGATTGGTTCGGCTCTGCGCTACTTAATTTGGATTGGCTGACCTTTTTTTTTTTTGAGGACAAGAGCGGCGAGGTCTATCGCGATAGCTTAATTTCTCTATCGAGTAAAAGTTATATCGCGATACATATCGTTATCGTTCTATCGCCCAGCTCTACGTGTCAGTGATGACAGTCTTCGCTTCTACCTTCACAGCCACTGGATAAAAGACAGACTTTAGACAAGTGCTTGTATGATGTACAATGATGAGGGACGTGAGAACGGCTGACAAAAAAATGCAGTGCAGAACACAGAAAGTGGGCATCTGAGCTGAAAGACTTAAAACTGCATTTTTTTCTTTATCTGCTTGTCAGACCAACTGAGCCAAAAACATAAGGCAGCAGTTACATTGCAGGTAAAATAATAAAGGATGTTCATATAGTAGAGTTTAGTTGTAGTTGTCCACACTGGAGCACACAGGTGGAGGATGGAAGTCAGAACAGTCGGGAACAGATGTTTCTACACTCATTTGGACTCACTCAGTCTTACTTCCATCTACTGTATTCAGTTTTCAGATTTTTCTTTCCTTTCCTTTCCGTAGGTGTCGACGTGAGCATGAACACCCACCTGAAGGCGGTGAAAATGACCCTGAAAAACCGGGAACCCACTCAGCTGGAGTCGCTGAGTATCCGTGGCAACAACATCCGCTATTTTATCCTGCCGGACAGCCTCCCGTTGGACACCTTGTTGGTCGACATCGAGCCAAAGATCAAGTCCAAGAAGCGAGAAGCAGGTGAGGAAGTGTTTGCTGTGCACCTGGCTCTTTTTGTTGTCTTTAAAGGCTTGTTTTTTGTACCCACAGGCTGGTTTATAAATGTCACTTCCCAACACTTTTTACATGAATGTGGACAAAGGGTCACACGGCACGTGAACCAGTATCCGTACGGCAGCTTTTCATGTCCTTTGGAAAAGTTAAATCTGGAAGCTTTGTGCAGAAAAGCAAACGAGGGCTGTGGGTGTGGGAGCGTAGCGGCCTTATGCACGATCGCTGTGTTTGATGTTTACAGTTCTTCCATACCGCTGCTGAAGCTGTGGTGCGTTTTGTTTGTTTTTGTTTTTTTCCCCTGAGTTGTGTAAGCATACAGGAACACATTGTAGCTATTCATGCGCATCTAAAGTGTGAGCATAAATGAAAACAGTGCTGCGCTGACGTCACAGTTGGTGCGAGCAATGACTGGTGCGTCTATCGTAACAATAACATAAAATGCCTCAGAAGCATTTCCACTGATGTCCTCTGTCACGTCTAAAGCTCTCACTCACCCACAACCTGTTTCCAGCAGGTTTTTAATTGCTCGCAGCTCTTTCTGCGTCTTTTTAAAATCTGTTTAGTGCAAATTGTACTATCAGATTTTTTTAGTCCCTCTGCCTGGTCTCTTCCACATCAACATGTGGTTAAACAGCCCACTTAGAAATCACTTGGGTGCTCAGGGTTGTTTCAGTGATCACATTTGTTCACTTCTGCAGTATTAAAATTATATTTTCAGGGCCTGTGTTTTTTAAATTTGTATATAGGAAGTTTTTCAGAGTTGATGCAGTTTTAAATTGTGGTATCTAAGTGATCTTTAATAGGGCTGTATGTACTCGGGCCTGTTGTACACTCTGTCCTGCTGTAGTTACGGGAGCATGAAGCCCAGAAAATGTCAGAGATACAGGCTGTTATACGGTCACCTTAAGAAATGGAAATTGATTCGTGCTGAGTTATCGCTGGTGTGCGTTTCAGCAGGGTTTGTGTGAGTTTGTCTTCACAGCATGAGATGACCAGACACAAAGTTGATACTGATAAACTTATAAAATTAGATTGGAGATATAAGGATGATTGATTTATTGGGGGTTAAACACCAAACACCGGTCAGTATGGCTGAGTTTATACTCACCACAGACATGTGGCCTTTATTCAGTCTCTAATATCTTCCATTTACCACACTAAACAATAGAGGTGGGAATCACCATACATCCCACGGTATGATATTATCACAATATTTAACTCACGATATGATATTATTGATATGATATTATTCTTGCTCAGAAAAAGGATCAACATGCTCTGAAGTCAGAGTCCACAAAAACTTTTTTTGTAACAAAATATCGATTTCTGCTGTCCCTGTATCGATACATTATTAGCAAACAAAATATCACGATGCTACACAGTATCGATTTTTTCCCCCACCCCTACTAAACAACATACATGTGCATCTTTAAACATGTGACAGAAAACTGGTTCTCCTGGTTTTGTTCTTCATATTTACTCCTCGTACTGTACTTTAGAGCCATGCTACAGTGTTTAGTCGCAATGTGAGACCCTGAAATGATGCTGCTGCTCAAAGAAATGTTACTCCTGTTCAAAGCAATGTGTTTACACTTTCTTTTAAATATATTAAACATTACTAAAACCAGAAGTAAATCAGGATAAATGCTCAGATTTAAATTGAATAGGGTAGCACAGATTCGATTTTTAAACTGCGCATAGAACAGCCTGCCTTATGTTTATAGTAACATAGCAACTCAACACATGTAGGTGAATGTTTGTGACAAATCTGTTGCTCTCCTCTCAGTGGCTGGACGGGGGCGAGGCAGAGGACGAGGACGTGGCAGAGGAAGAGGAAGAGGACGGGGTGGACCAAGGAGATGATCCAAAGGCCTTAAAGCTGCATCTCACCATCCACTGTTTGTACAGGAATTTTTTTTTTTTTTTTTTTTTTTTTTTTTTTTTTTTTTTTTCCCCCCCCCACAATTTGCTCAAAGGAAACAGTTTGTGAATTTCAGTGTGTTTTTCATTATTTTGTACATTAAAAATGTTCCTCATTAAGAGGATAAACTTGACTCCAGTGCATTATTACAATACCTGTGTGACAGGGGTTCAGGTTAAACTTTTGTTCTTTATTTACAAGGTTGAATAAAGTTTCTTTGTACCGAAATTTGTTAATGATCATGATTTTAACAGAAAATTAATTTGAAGCGCTCAAAACGCAACAGGTTATGTTGTGAGAGGGGTCAAAATCTGAAGAATGTTATTATAAAATAGCACACAGTCTTACACTTTGTCTAATTTATGTTAAATAAAAAAGGATCTTCAGCTGCCAATACTAGAATAGAATAGAATTCGACTTTATTGTCATTGCACATGTCACAGGTACAAGGCAACAAAATGCAGTTTGCATCCATCCAGAAGTGCTTTAGCCATGATATAGATATATTACAATATATATTAGCAATAACTAGATATGTGAGTATATTACAGAAATGGGTCTATTATGGTATGTTATAATTTACACGGTATGATGTATGTTATGAATATGCTATAACTATAAGTATGTACAGGCTATGAACAGGATATAAATATGAAAAACTATACAGAAATATGAGATATACAGAAGTGTGAACTGTGCAGGTTATAAAGTTGTAGATTTAAAAATTATCGTGTTGTACAGAAAGATTATTTATACAGTAGTGCAGTTAAGATAAGTGAGATATGTGGATAATTTCTACAGAGGCTATATAAAGTGCTAGTGGTTGTGAGTGGTGGTTCAGTCCATGTTATTGTGTGTATGCGGGTACAGTTCATTGTGTGTGTAGGTGGTAATAATAATGAAAGTAAAAATACATTTAGGTACACATATGGAGGCTAAGCTCTTAACATTAAGTAATATCAGCAAACATTTTGGGTTGGTGTCCGCAATTATGAATAAAATGGAAGTGAATTTTATTTAGTTTTAGAAATAAAAAACTGAAACCAAATTCCAAAGTACCTGAAGGTGCAATACTGCTGTTGGGCGCTAGGGTCGGTTCCACCGGAAAAGCATAAAATTTAAGGGAAGCATATTTCCAAGAGCACCTGGCTGCAGCCAAAAAAGCTATATTTAAACCATAGCAGATAGTTAAATACTGTATTTTTATAAGCTTAGTCACTCAGGGTTTTTACTGTTCTACTACCTAAATTGTGCAGCACCCGGTCCCCTTATTCTATAGATATATTCTTAGCTGTAGAGGTTTAGAACTTACTTTTTCTCTTTCTTTTTTCTAATAACTTTGTCTTTTTCACTTGTTTCTCTTAATACCAGGGGTTTAGGACAAACCTGTAAACGCAAAGCTTTGTTTTTGTTTGCCAAACAATTTAAAACAGATTTTTGCTTTTTCCAAGAGAGTCATTCCACACCTGCTGATACAAATTTTTGGAAATCACAATGGGGTAATGAAGTCTGTCCCATGGCTCTGAACGTTCTGCTGGAGTTGCCACGCTTAAAAATTCTCTTTCTGGGGATGTGTTACACTCTGACTGTGACACCTTAGGACACTACCTCTGCTCAATAATCAGACACAATAACAGTACTTTCATTGCAGTAAATATATATGGTTACAATAATAAAACTGAAAATGATAAATTACTTGACTCCTTAGAAGAAAGAATTAATTTCTGGCTCTCCAAATACCCAAATTCAGTCCTCTTAATTGGTGGAGACTTTAACATCGCTTTAGACAATACAGTTGATAGGTGGCCTCCAGGGCAGCAGTCTTCATACAGTGCAAACTTAAAAAATTTTATGGGAAAATTTAATCTTGTGGATATTTGGAGAGAAAAATTTCCAGATGATAGACTCTTTACTTGGAGCAATAAGACAGGATCCAGGCAATCACGTATTGACTTTTGGCTTGTTTCTGACTGTATTGATAAAGATAATATTACCGTTAATGTACTTGCCACCCCCCTCACTGATCATAGAGCAATTCACATTAACGTCCAAATGTTTACACTGGATAATATACCTCATAAATTCTCTTATTGGAAGTTAAATAATTCTTTACTAAAAGATAAAATGGTTAACATGCAGATTAATAAATTAATTGTTTATTATTGGAACAAAGCTAACAGAGAGAAGTCCTTTTGTACCAATTGGGAACTTTTTAAATTTGAAGCATGCAAATTCTTGAGAAGATACGGGAGTCAAATTGCTAAATTAAGGAAAGCTGAAGAACAAGAAGTAATAAGCAGAATTGCCTCTTATTACCAGAAGAAATCTCAGAGGAAGATAAATTAAGTTTACTAGAACTTCAAAATAAATTGGACGATTTATATCGACGCAAGGCTGAGGGTGCTTTCATAAGATCCAGGAAGAGGTGGCTGGAGGAGGGCGAACAAAATTCTGCTTACTTTTTCAGACTTGAAAAATACAGATCCAAAACAAACTCTATTCATCAACTAAATATTAATGGCATTGTCTCTGACAATCCTAGAGAAATTTCACATTTCTGTGCCGAATTCTATACTAAACTATACGACTCAAAATATAATGAGGCTGTCTCAACAGGATTTTTCAATAATATTAAAAACCTAAAATCTATTGTTGTGGAAGATAGAAGTTATTGTGACAGCCCTCTGACTGTGGAGGAAGTTTGTAATTCCATTTCTGCACTTAAGGCCAATAAATCTCCCGGCACAGATGGTTTGACTGCAGAGTTTTATAAATCATTTTCTAATCTCCTGGCTCCGTTTTTACTGCAGGTTTTTACAGAAAGTATAGAGAATAACATCCTCCCTCCTTCTCTTACTCAAGGTCTCATAACACTTATTCCAAAACCAAACAAAGACTTACTCTTTATTGATAATTGGAGACCCATCTCCCTGCTTAATAATGACTATAAGGTTATGGCTTTAATACTTGCTAACAGAATTAAAGAGGTCTTTGGACACAATTATCGATGAGACACAATCAGGCTTTATGAGAAACAGACACATTTCTAATAACATTAGACTGGTTTTGGATTTACTTGATTACTCTGATCTGGTACCTGACAATAGCTTCAAGCTGAAACGTGCTATTCGCCAAGGATGTCCTATTTCACCATATTTATTTTTACTTTGCACACAAATTCTTGCAACTAATATTACTCTCCTTACATCTGGATAAGAAAATTAGTAAAGATATTGACCGTATGCTCTTTAATTTTATATGGAAAAACCGTACGCATTATATTAGAAAAACTGTTGTGATGAATAAGTACGAATCAGGTGGGCTTAACGTCTTAGACTTTTCTACTTTAAATAACACTTTCAAAATTAATTGGGCTAAACATTTTCTTAAAAACCCTACCTCTATCTGGAACTTTATACCATATTATATTTTCTCTCGTTTTGGTGGCTTTAATTTTATTTTAAATTGTAATTACAATGTTGAGAAACTCCCTGTAAAGCTTTCATCCTTCCATAAGCAGGTCCTCTTAGCGTGGACCCTCATTTATAAACACAACTTCTCACCTCACAAATACCTTATCTGGAACAACAGAGATATTTTATATAAAAATAAATCACTTTTCCTGGAAACTTGGATCCAAAATGGGATCCTATTGGTGGCTCAGCTGGTTAGTAAAGAGGGACAACTACTTACATACGAACGACTTTATTGCACTATATAATTTTCCAATCAGTGTTCAGGAATTCTCAATGGTGCTTGGTGCCATACCCTCAGGGACTTTAATGTTATATAAAAACACTGACAGCTCGATCTCTACCTCAGTCACTCTCCCTGATCCAGCTGAGTCACCAATAGGAAAAATCTGCTTTTCACAGGAACTTGGTAACAGCAATAAGAGAATACGTAGTTTATTCCAAGAAGATATCGTCTCTCTCCCATATATAATATCTTATTGGAACCGATTTGTTCCAGATATCAAGTGGAAGACAGTCTGGATGGTCCCCCATAAATATTTGATTGTAAATAAGGTGAAAGAAGTCTCATTTAAAATTCTACATAAATGTTATCCAGCCAGTCACTACATGGTAAAATTTAAAAGGGACATAAATACTAATTGTACTTTCTGTGGGGATCATCCAGAAACTGTGACACATCTTTTTTGGTACTGTTCTTTTACACAGAGATTCTGGAAGGAATTTAGCAGGTTTGTTATTGTCCATATTTTAAGGGAGTTTTCTTTACGATGGGAAAATGTTTTATTCTGTTTTTTAAGTTCCCCAAGAAGTATGAAAATGTTTTTTATGATAAATTTGTTAATACTTTTAGCTAAATTTTTTATCCATAAATGTAAGTTTACTAACAAAACACCATATTTCTGTCATTATTTTAAGGATGTGGAAATGTACATACAATCAATATCAGACTCCACCAACAAAAAGGCTCTCAAACAATATATGTATGTGAATTTTTGCGTGTATTCTTATAATTGTTACCTTTTTCTTTTACCCTGGCTTTTGTGTTCATGTTCTGTTGTTTTGTATACTTCATCTGTTCGTATGTTGTATCCAGGTTACTGTGGAGCTCCACAGTGGCTGCAGCCAGATGCTCTTGACACTCCTTAAACCAGGTGTTTCTGTCTGGATTTGATAATAGTTGAGCCAATTATAATCTGCAAATAAATAACAAAGAATTTCAAAAAATTACTAAGGCTATCCCTCAAAACATTCTATGTACAGCATATAATCTTTTTCAAAACCCTGACTATAGATCCCCTGACCTCCCTGAACTCTTGGTAAATGGGCATAACATTACAGCTAACAGTCTAAAAAACTCCCAAATTAGGGAATTATTTACTAATGTTTTTTCCCTTATAGATCCAATCCAAATTCCATCTCACATCTGTTCTCTGTGATCAAAAGAAAGAGATCAGAAAAAATTACCTAAAACTTCCCATTCCTCCCAAAGCTAAGGAGGTCCACTACAAAATCCTTTCTGGTATTTACCCTTCCAAAGAATTTCTCAGACGTCGCTTTGCTATTGATAATAATTCTTGCTCTTTTTGTGATGGGGATATTGAATCAACAGAACATTTATTTTATAATTGTATATTCTGTAAAGCCCTGTGGAACGATGTGCACTACTGGCTCTTTCCAAAGATTCCAAACTTACTTGAATTTTCTAAAAATGATATTATCTTTGGTTCTCTAAGAAAAGAAAAGAAGCTTGAA